ACACACACACACACACACACACACACACACAGCGCACACACACACACACACACTATTAGAATGGAGCACAGAGATTTTATATATATGTGTATGTGTTTAGGCCTTCTTTTAGACATATATATTAATATATATAAAATCTGTGCTCTAACATTTTAATTCTGTTCTATTATATATGTGTATATATACATATGTGTGTATAGATATATACAGATTTATATACATATCTACACATGTTTGTATACACATATATATATATACACACACATGTATGTGTATACATACTATACGTATTTATGTGCACATGCACAATCTATGTAATATGTGTTTCTTTCTATTGGTCAGGGTCAAAACATTTGAGTCACTGTATTAAATAGGTCATCCCCAGCAATTTCTGTCCATTGTTCCCTATATGGTACCCTCCCTCTGTTAAAATACAATTACGATGTCTACCATATTTTAAGAACTAAAACGCATTCCACTTCCAATTTTCCACGCTAATGAGCAGATGTAGTAGGAGGTAATCCTCCAAATGTCTTGGGGTGTGTCATGCCACAATTCTCACATGGGCGTGTGCTATGTTCTGGAATTTCACAAGATGATGGACACACTGGAGAAAGCCTGATTCTGGGAAGGTTGGTGTTGCCAAATACGCCACTCTTTGTCTCTGCTCAGCATGCCTTCTGCTGCATCAAGGCAGCGATTATAACACACCACGTCTTATTTGAGGCTTATTGGGCTTATCTGAGACTCTTGTGTTTATATAATCAGTTTAAACTTTTTCTGCAATGGAGAAGAGATTGAATGATTTCTTCAAGAAGTCTATCTTTAAAAGACACGTGGCAAGAATGAATATTTTAAAAAAAGAAATACCAAGTAAAGAAAAAAGGGATTCATGTCTAAATGAAGTCCTATATTACTAATATGAAATTAAACAAAAATCACAGACAGTCCAGCAAATATCAATGGAGATCTATGAAAACTGGCAAAATAGTTCCATTGAATTAATAATCTAGAGTAGTAATCTCAAAACATTTCAATGGGCATCACTAAAACATGTCTGCCCATGTATCTCAAATGTATATGATTATGATGATTTACTTATAAGTACGTACAGACACTACTGTCTTAATATACCATATACCATGCATAATTATAAAACACAAACTGGAAATTATAAAATGATGAGATTTAAAAATAACAGAAATAGAAATTTTAGTGTCAAAAGAATTATTCTTCATATTCCTGTGTGCGGGCCACTGACCTAAAATGTTAAACTAGGTCATATGGTTATATAACTTAAAATGCACCAAAATAAAATCTCTAAGAACCACATTTCCAGATAATATTTGCTCTCAATTATTGCATTTTAAATGAGTTCTCAGAATTGATGGTGCAAGTGTCTACAACCTGGGATCTGTGACCTCAGGGACATTTCTGGATAAGATTTATGTTCCCCACATTGTATCTGTTCTTACAAAGGCTTTTTTCCTTAGGTTTCCAAAGAGGTCTGTAACCCCCACTTGCCTCAAATGAATAATTACTCCTCTGATGTATTTCCTTCCATGGGCAAGAGGATATGTTTCACCAACAGTTAGTTGGAGCCCAAATGCAGCCTGCAAATTATAGCTCCTTGACCTGAACAGTGCACGTAGCTCAGAAGTTAACAATTTACTGACAGAATGACGGCCTGGACACCAGCAGAAGTGTGTTTTAGTATGTGCCTTATCACTATCTATAGTTGGAGCTAGTCTCTGGGACTTGGGCAAGTTTTTGTCTCTAAAGTGAAGGTGTCAATCAGTTAAGAGCCACCATGCTTGCCTAGCACTGATACTGTATCATTCAAAGTACATAAGAAAACATGTCTGAATGATCTTAGTAGTACTTCCTCCTCTCTCCATATCCCCTGAAAATACTCCTGAAGTTTTCTCTCTTTCACATACACTTGGGATTTTCAGAATTAGAAAGCGGATGTAGCAAGGTGTGTTCTAAGGGATAGGGGTGAAACTGCTGGCGAATGATACTGCTCATTTCTAGAGAGTAAGCTCCATCCAGGCCCCTGCCCAATACCTAGTTTGAAACTTTTAACTGTCTTATCCCTCTATGCATTCTGCGCAGAGATATCAAATGAAAAGATATTCCAACTTTGCACAGGAAATGTTCTATTTTGGTATATATAACTCTGTTTAATAAGTAGCTCCTAAAAGTTCATTGTGTGAAAAATTCTACGTGGCCAACACTTGCTGTACTCAGCTTTGTCATCCAAAGGTCTCAAGGTTTCAAAAAACAATCTTATTCATTGAGTCCTGTTAACTTGTTTTTTCCTATCGATACTTGGGTGATTTTATAGCTGCAAAACTCTCAACATACATAGAAAAGGTACACCATTATGAACTATAGAAAAAGCAGTGATTTAAAAGTAAAGGTTAAATATGAGAAAAGAAATGTGTAAAATGTAAGATGCCCCAAAGCAAGCATTTTCTAAACATCGTGCAAGAGTAAATAAAAAGTCTCCTGTCATTAACCGGTTTACCATAACTACAGCAGGAGGGCAAGTGAGCATATTTATAATATTTGCTTCATTTCCACTTTTTTCTAAAATTGTTTACTAGTATTAAATCACAAATTAATTTTTTTTCCAAGTGTTCTTGTGGTGGGGAAAAGATTAGATATGTTTCCTTTAAAAATATCTGTCCAAAAGTCTTTTTCTAGACTTTATGTACCCTGATTGGATTAAAAAGATTAGTGTCTTAGCAAAAGCCCTTGTTACTATAAGAAACTGAAGAAAAAAAAGTGAAACTTCCAAGTTACAATGGACACTCTAGAATGCTGAGGAATATGTTCTTACCAAAATTTTGATCCATGTCAGTGGTCTCAGAAATTTTTAAGTGGTAAGTCACTAAAAGGAATTCTCGTATACACAACCATGTATGTATGTATAATTATTTGTAAATTCACAGCTCTTTCTCTATTAACTGATTATGCCTACTAGAAAGACATAAACTAGAAAGTATAAGAGATTAAAATTTACAAACAACTAAAAACAGAAATCCTAATACTTTGCTCCTCAGCCTCAGTGGTCTGTCCTGTACACATCCCAGAAGACCCTGGTGAAATTCGGAACTAGGTAATGTAGTTGAAAGACTCTCAAACGTGGTTTTAGAAAAATTCCTTCCATATCATACTTTACAGCAATGAAAAAAAAAAAAAATCTAAGAACCGAGTAGCAGCAGTCTGCCTTCCTCCTAAACTTGAGTATTTAAAACCAGTTCTCTAGTAGAAGGCTGGATTTCTTGTCCGGTTTCCCCCATTCTAGTCTTCTTAGATATTAGGACATTTGGCTTTAAATTCTCACCTATCCTTGTTCTCATGCTTTTCTCATCGTAACTGTAACTGGTAGTCCCAGGTTCTGCCAACGCCCTACTTGAGAGAAGCTGCCAGAAAATAAAATTAAACTAGGAACAACTGATGTTTTTGTTTTTATTGTAACTAACCCAGAAAAACTGACACCAGTTCATGTGAGAAAAGGACGTTTTCTGGAACAGCCAATGTACCTGTTGTCTTTGCAACTTCACTTCTTTGCGAAGTTGCTCAACTTCCATCTTCAGCTTTTCCTTCTCTGGCAAATCCTCGATGTGAAGGGCAGGCATTTTCGCCCCGGAGCTGGGCGCAGAGGCAGCCCGGGCGGTGGAGCGGCTGCAGACCTCCGCGCTTCCCGAAATGACTGCGGGGCCCGGCCACCCCCGCCCGCGGGCGCAGGACGGGACAGCCTCCCAGCGAGTGGTCCCCGCTCCCGACGGCTTCCTGTGCAACGCCTCGTCACGCCAGCCTTTTCAGCGTCCTGGGATCTTAAAACCCCCGGTCTTGTCCTCCAGTCCCGGGACCCCCGAGGCCTGCCTGGGGGAACGTGGTTAGGGATCCGTTTGAGACCGTCCAAACAGCTGCCCGCGGCTAGATCCGCAGCAGGGATGCTGGGCCTTTTTTTTGGCGCGGGACCCTGCCACGCCCGCGGGAAGCGACCCGCGGAGCTGCGGCCCACTGCCCGAGACAGCAAGCTTTTACTTTTTGTTCCTTTTTTTTTCCATTTCCAAGTCACATCCGGGTTTTGTTTGTGAAACAGCGAGGAAAAGGAGGATAGTACCCAGGAAATAACGGCTTTTTATCTCTCCAAGTGTTTAAAAAATAACACAGTATACAGCTTTTACATATGTGTAGTGTGCGTGTGTGTGTGTGTGTGTGTGTGTGTGTGTATGTGTGTATAAAATTTTGTGGGAAAAAAACACACTGGCAATAAAGGCCCAAAGGAAATGAAACTGAGTTGTAATCTCAGAAAAACCCACCTCTGCCCATCCAGTCTGTTAAAAGGCCCAAAACGGATTGACACGTTTCATTTCGGGGTAAAAGGGGTAACAAGATGGGAATGTTGTCTACAACCTCGGTGGTCATTTACTGTCTTTATGTAACCATCTGTATCCTCAACAGCAAAAGTTTTCTTAATTTTTTTTGTGGGGGGGCATGTTTTGTAAAGATTAGAGGATACGAGGATAATAACCGAAAAGACAGAAGCAGGAATTTTCAAGACCTTACATGAGGGGATTTCTCCACTCCCCAGACCCCGGGCTTGAGTGACACTTAACACCAAGGAGTTTTCATTTCTAGCTCAGGCAACTTCTCGGATGTAAGCAGAACCACTTAGTGTTGCTTTCTGCATGTTCTGAAGAGTCGTTTCCCTCTGGCTGCTGCTTTGTAAAGCGAGGAAAAGTGAAAATGTTTATATGCAATATAAACTTTCCCTTTGACTATAAAGCCTTGTTAATGGTACTCAAAAACAAAACAAAACAAACAAAAAAAAAAACAAGAAAAATACAATCTGACGTTAATAAACCTTAATAAACCTTTCCCAATAGTGAGAGAGTTCTTTCCTACAATAACCTCTGGCTTAATAGTCAAATTCAAATGGAAATCAGAGGCAATAGGTAAATATTTTAGGGTACTTGATCTTCCCTGTTTAGTGAGTAAACTTTTGGATTTGTTCATCCTTTCGGACCAGGTTGGTCCCACTTATCCTCATTGAAGACATTAGAATGAAAAGAGCAGGGAGCTACTTAATGAATACTTCAAGGTTATAGCTGAGCTGTGCCCCCAGCTATCGCTGGAAAACACACTTATATTTTTTTCCATGTTTTGACTTTTTAATTTGTGAGATGTATGATGGGCCAGGGAAGGCGCTGAGTCAGCGACGCTCTGTGGTGTCTCTAATTGTACTTCTGCATTTACGCATGGTAAGTTATGGTTACAAAGAGCATGTTTAAAAGCTTCATTTTCTGTATTTGAAATAAGACTCTACAGGTCTCAAAAAAGTTAGCTCTCACTGCTGAAGTTTTGCTTGATAGTTAAGCAGTGAGTCAAGACATTTGAGCAGTGAAGCAGTGAGCCACATCCATTTACAGAACTATTTTTTTTTTACTTTTTATTCTTTAAATATAAAAGGTTTGGGGCCAGCAGGTGGCATGGTGATTAAGGGTGTTGGACTCCCCCATGGGCAACTGCAGTTCGAGTTCTGGATCTGATGGCTAGCTTTCTCACTTTCCCTCTCTCTCTCTCACTTTGTTTATGGTCAAATTAAAAATAAATAAAAAGTTAAGAAAATAATTCTTTAAAAAATAATAAATAAAATAAATGTAAAAGGTTGGTCAAAAATAGCTTATATAAATTAGTGAAAGTAATGAATGTAAACATGGCCTAAATTAAATAAGGTCAATAGCTAAATTAAGCTAGTTAAGTAAATTAATGTACATTTGTTCTAAGTTATAAAAAGTAAACTTATTTTGGCCTGGAAATTTCTTCCCTATGAAATCGTCTGGTTGTATGCAGGGATAAATATTTATAAATCCATATTGGGTTCCAACTTTTCCCACAGTACTATGAGGCTTAAATCAGAGTTGAAATATGTATTAGTCTACTTTTCTTCTTAGTTTTTATTGTTATCAAAAACAATATTTTAATATCTTACTAAGTAAATTAATTAAAGTGAGACTGGCTTGCATGAGCCAAACTGACTTTGTCTTGTGCTATATAGCCAGTCTGATTTTATCTTAGTAATCGACTTGTTGATCTCAACTTGATTGCACTCTCTTTACTAGGGATCTATCTTAAGAACTCCTGAGCAATAGAATGGAAGCTCAAAAGAATAAAGAATGTTCCACCCAGGGGACCAAAACTCATGTTTTGAAGCTTGTTTGTACCATCCCTACCCCAGCTAAAAACTTGACATGATCTATGCTTTTCTGTCCATTGCCACCAGCCCCCAACTTCTTTCTTCCCTTGTAAAAGCATCTGTAGGGGCCAGCAGATGGTGTAGCAGTTACATGGCTGGACTGGATTCCCACATGGCCAAGGGCAGTTTGAGTTCCAGACCTGGTGGCTTGAGACTGTTGCCTGGCAATGGAGGAGAGGACATTGCAGCATGGTCATTGCTCCTGAGGGACGATTTCTCACCTATCCCTTCTCACTCTCTCTGTCCCCCTCCCCAGCAAGCCCTAAGGAAAACAAACAAACAAAAAACCTCTACCAAAAAAATAAATAAATAAAAAGAAAACATCTGTACGTTGGCTGTCCAGTTGAAAATACTCTTACGTGTCTTCCTTGTGTGGCTACACTACAATAAATTCTCCTTTCTCTTTCCAACAACTTTGCCTTTTGGTGGACCTGCTTCAGGTCCCTGGAGTGGGGATGTAGAGTCCTTAGAGTATGGAAAACATGTATCTTTTTTCCTCTTTTCTTTTTAAATAAAATGATATGTAGTCTTCTATCCCTAGTCATTGAGTTGATCACAAAGTAGCAAGTTCTTGCATATTCTTGTAGATATATTCTAATAGGAATATTAAATGTTTTGAATAAATGTTTGAATAAATACATTTCAGATACATTTTAAAATGTTCAGTTGTATGCAAGTGTAGTGTAAAGCTTGTTCTTATATTTTACATAGCAGTCCTAGAAAAATTTATTTTACAGGATAGTATGTGTAGGAACTATTTTGTGGTAAAAATGATAGGTATAATCAGAAATGAACTTTCATTAATTAGCCCATTATACTTTGACAAATATTAAGGTAAATGTGTGTAGTGAAACTGAAGGAAACATTTTCACTTTTGAATTATAATGACCATGAAATTTTTATTTTGGTATGCAAGAACGAAGAAAAACCATTTTAAACTATTTTTTCAGATTTTTTAGATATGTTCTTGGGCCTGCAGTTTGCATGGACATTAAAATATTATATCCCACGTGGCTAGCTTTGTGGTTTGAGTCCTAGACCTGGTGGTTTGAAAATCACATTGGGCCCAAAATCCTAAACTTAAATAACAGTGACTCGTCAGGCCATTAAAATGATGGATTACAGGGGGCCAGCAGGTGGTGTACTATAAGATGCTAGACTTCCACATGGCTGATTGTGATTTGAATCCCAGCCCAACAGCTTGAAAATCACACCAGGTGTATTCTCATTCGCATGTGTGCCTAAAATCCCAAGAGGTGAATGGAGGAAAAGGGATTGCAGCATTGCTGTCCCCCTTGGGGGATGATCTCTCATTTTTCCTCTCTGTTGCTCACTCTGGCAAGTGCACATTCCTTATGGCAAAAACAACAAAAACAACAACAACAGCAAAAGATGGATTTTTAAGGGAAGTATTTAAAACACATTTGATGTACTCTTGGCTTATTTGTTGTGTGTTCAATCTGTCAAAATAACAACATGGCAGCTCTCAAGGACTCAGTCATTTCACGTCACTTCATGCTTAAGATTCCATCTCTATGGAGATGATGTCAAGTCACAGGATCATCTGTGTCTGATACTTTGATTACCTTAGCAACTTCTAATCCACGGTAGCAAAATGATTTTCTCTAATCAATTCTGTTCCTACAGGACTTTACTGCCCATTAAATAGGTGGTCATTCTCATGACTCAGATTCCTATTTTCTTTATGTTAATTCATTCCTTTAGGAATTTAGGAAGTTTGATATTAACTTTGTTTTCAACTCCTGCAAAATCAAATCACTCCAAATTAAAATAACAATGAGGTGCTTTTTTTTTTTTCTTGCTTAACAGTAAGATACTGAGTGAATGAGGTGCTTTTTTTTTTTCTTGCTTAACAGTAAGATACTTTTGTCTTGAGCTCTCCTACCTGTGCAAAATGTCATCAAAATTCAGGTGCCTGTAGCTCAAATAATATATTGTAGTGTCTGTAATAGCTCATTCTCACTAATGATATAAGAAAGTATTGTCAAAGAGCCAAATGTGAAAATTGTGCACAGATTTTTTTTTTTTTTTTTTTTTACTTTCTTCCCTGTAGTCTTACCTCATTCCCTTTAACCTAGTAACCTCTGGCTCTGAAATAACAACTTCTGAAAACATAGTCACTGCCAGTCACAGCTGTGCAGCCTGTGGGATAATCATGATTTCATTTCCTTCTTCCTGGATCATCTTTCTCTACACGTTTTCATATGATTTTTCTTATTCAAAATTCTGCTGACAATGTGTATTTTTATGCAGTATGAATCTTACTGTATGGTTGATTTAATCACTCATTAAGCTAATAAAAATTCTAAATTATCCAATTATAAATATTTTGTAAGCCCTGTTCTTGCCTGCTTTTAATTGAGTTAAATATTTATAAAGTCAATTAAATTGTAGATAGAATTTTTTCTTTGCTATGACAGTTTTAAAGATGAATAGAACTTCAGGCATGGGAAATTTACAATGTAGCATTGAAATGAAGACAACCAGACACCTTATAATAAGAGAAAGTAAAGGAATGTTAAATGATTTAAGAGATACAGAAAATATTCTTGAGGTAGACTGAAGGACAGACTGTCTCAGCAAGAGAATGGGATTTCAAAAGATTGAAATGAGATGGAGTGGAGGGACACTTTAGATGGAGAGAGCAATATGACCAAATTACATGGTAAAATGTGGTATCGTGATAGGATTTTGCTTTTGTTAGCTTAACTTATGTATTTCTCGCTTTCTTTTTTTTTTTTTTTCAGAGAGAGATTTTTGCTATAGGGTTCCCACACCCTCTGGAGAGACAGAGAGACAGAAGGCAGGAAATCACTCTCTCCTCCTGGGAATGGCCACACTGCAACCCTTTCTCCTCCATTCTCTTCTTGGGGTTTTGTGCACTCACGCACCTGTGCCTGGTGTGTTTCAAGCCACAAGGTTCAGGACTCAAACTACTGTTTGAGTAGTCTGCGGCATGGGAGTCCAGTGCTTCCACTACACCACCTGCTGGCCTGCTTGCCCCAGGTTTACTTATTTCCCAAGAGAGAGGAAGTGGGTTCCAATAGAGTCTTTGTGCCTTAATCCACCCCCAGCTTCAGCCAGCTGGGATCACTGGCACACTTGACAGACATGTACAGGGAGAGGTTGGGATGTGAACCTGGAACCTTCCTGTGTGGCTTCAGTGTTGCAGAACATAAGATTACCACTGTTCCACTGTGGCTGGCCAGAGAGTATTTAATAGTTTGGTTTATTGACTATAGCAAGTCTACGGTGTTTATAATAAAAGAGAATATTGATTAAGGCTTCTTTAAATGTGCCTATCTGATGATGTAAGGGTTTATAAATACCCATATAAGGATTTATCCTAATCCCTCATTTTATAGATGAAACAAACTGAGTGTGAAAGAGTGGAAGTTACTTGTCCATAGTTTTAAACTAGAAAGTGAAAGAATCAGATTTTAACTTAGAATTCTCAGATTTAAGGATCTATCTCCAGTTATAAGATGAAAGTTAGAGATATTAGTAAGAACTGTACTCTACACGTGACTGGTTGTCCTCACAAGATTCTGTTTGTTTTAATCAGAAAAAAAAAAGGAACACTTCTCTGAATAAACACTAATTGGCAGATGGAAAACTTGCAGATACAGATCACAATGAAATGACATATATAATGCTCTAGATGGTGATGGGTGCTGTGAAGAAAATAGTGTGGAAACAAAGGTAGGAAGTGCTAGGGGATAGTTGAAGAAGGGTTTTGTGCTGTTTTAAAAAATTTTTTTTAATTACTTTAACCTTATTTATTTATTTTTTTAATTTGACCAGAGAGGGACAGACTGTGTGTGAGAGAGAAAGCAAGTCACCAGGTCTAGGACTTGAACCACAGTTGGCGATGTGGGAGTCCAGTACCCTGGACCACCATGCCACCTGCTGGCCCAATGGGTTTTTGTAATTTTAAATAGGATGAAAAGAGCTTCTCCTGAGAGAAACAAGATAGGACATTACCGAGTTTAACAAATAATCCTTTTTTTTTTTTCTTTAGGAGAGATTTTTGCTATACGGGGTTTGTCCTTGCTAGGAGACAGAGAGAGATGGATAGAAAGGTGAGAAATCATCCCCCAAGATGGTCAATGGCCACATCACAATTCCTTCTCCATTCTCCTCTTGGGATTTTGGGCACACATGCACCCAGAATGAGTTTTAAGTCACCAAGTGTGGGACTCAAAATGCGGTTAATCATTGGAAGTCCAGTGCCTTAACCACTCTGCCAACTGCAGGCTCCTATCATGGAATCCTTAATATCCAAAGCATTTTTGATGAAGATATGTGGTAGAATATGTTGTGAACTGTTCAGCCAGAGACCCAGAGTTTTGACCTGATAAATTGGCCAACTCACCGCCTGAGCCTTTATTTTCTTCATTTCAAGGCAACAGATACTTGCTGAGCATTTACTATTGTCAGAGTAGGAGGGCACTGAGCTGAGAGCCAAACTTGGAATGACCTTCAGACTCCCTTCCAGACCAAATAATTGATGATCTTTATATTGATGACAATCAATAAGCATTTCTGAGTATTTTGATCAGTGAGGTATCCAAGATAGTATAAATGGAAGGTAGCAACAAGGAAACACTAACAGCCAAAAGTAGTTTCCCTTTTTTCAGTTTATTTCTTTCTTCTGAAAGACATAGAGAAACAGGCACCCCACCCCTATCCCAACTGAGTCTTTATGCCACAATCCACCCTCAGTTTTAGCTGGCCTGAATTACAAACGTGTGTGTGTGTGTGTGTGTGTGTGTGTGTGTGCTCAGTGTTCACAGGGAGGCCCTGGGATGTGCACTCAGGACATCTCACCTGGGTCCAGTTGTGTTACCACTGCACTGCACCGACATTTGCACACCCCCCCCAGATAGTTTCCGAATTGGGGTAACTATGCATGTCATTTGTTACAGAAGTGGAGGAAAGTCACCTTTCTTAATCATTAACACAAAGGTAGAGCAATTTGGCTTACGCAACTCATTAAGACCCCAGGAGGAAACTGATCAGTAGGATGATACAGGTTATGGCAATTTTTCTATCATTTGCCCTTTTTCCTGTCACAGAAGACTGTGCTAGTGAGAGTTTTCATGGAGATGGGGTGGAATAGCATGTATTTTAAAGAATTCTGGAAATTTTGTCTAATTCTTTTCCCAATCATAATACTAGCTAACACTTATGGGGTCTTACTACACGTGAGGAAATGTGCTACTTGTTGTAGTACTTACGCCCCATAAAAATAGGGGCTAGAAACATTATTAGTGCCACCCTACAGTAGGAGAAACTGAGATTTAAAAAGAATTAAGTCATTGATCTAAAGCCAGTTTGGCAGTAAGTTGCCAGAGCTAGAGCTCAGTAGGTCCCAAGTCTATGATCGTAACCTTTATTCTGGTGCTGGCTAAATTCACTGTGCTCTGTGACCACAGAATGAACCCTTAATCCAGTTGGCATGCTACAAAAATGTCTCATCATTGATGGACAAGTAGAATTGTGCAAAAACATAGGAAGAGGCTGAGTTAAGACTATGACCATTGACTAGAAGATAAGAGAGAAAAGGAAACAGAAAATGAAATATCAACAACAGAAATCTTCACAGCACATACTACTGACATAGGTCATCTGGGTATCAAATAAGAGATTTCTAATTATATAAGCAAAAGGAAATTTAGAAAAAGTATAAACCTGACCATAAAATTTCTGTATAGAATATTGAGTGTTGAAAGGGAAGTGAGGAAACATAAAAAATTAACTATGTGCTGGTAACTCAGAATGTTATAGACTCATTCATAAAACAGTAATTACCTTTAAAGTAAATTCAGTCAATATTTGTTGTTAATTATGTGTTAAACTCTATGTTAAATACTAAGAAAAACACGGTCTTACATGTGATCACATGCCAATTTTTAATGTAAGTTTACATTTATAAATTCTAAATTAATATGCATGTTTAATAACATGTATGAGAACAATTTGTATTATCATCACAATTCAAGCTATCCCAAGGACTTTATTTATGAAATCATGCAGCCTCCTTTAAGCTCCTTGAAGGGGTTTTGTTCCTCTGGAATACCTTTTACGAGTGGATCTTCCCCAGATCTTTCTTCAACATAATCTCTTACTTCTTCACAACATTTAGATACCTTTAAGGGGAAGGAGAAGATTCATTTGGTGTAGAACAGAATACTACATATTCTAAGAATTGATTCATTACAATACATTTCATGTATTTTCATTGTGAACCTTTGTCTTCTGTTAATGCACATGTATATTTTTAAGAAAGAAGAAGAAAGCTGCTCTCTCCCATGTCCTCTTGGATATCTTTAGACAAAAGATAAATAGCTGGCCACACACCGGCAAAGGATTCCTAGCAGCCTTTGCCTACAGCTTTTTCAAAGGAGACAAGGTCCAGATTCAGATCACAGCTGGCAACCCAAGTCAAGAATGTCACCAGAAGAAATGTTGATTAAATCTTTTTCCTCATTCCAAAAATATGACTTGTAAAGGAAGAAGAGCATGAATAATAATTAAATTCCAGGTTTATCACCACTGCTAGATCCTCAGAGGTATACACATAGAATTTTTCTTTAAACTCGTCTGCAGTTACTGAGAATGACAGTGCGCCAGGGGAAGGCAAGGGCTCAGGGGCCTTTGATTGGTTTGTCCAAAGGATCTCAGAGGTCTACAACCGAGTCTATAAGTAGTTGATTCTTAGTAAATAAATACTTGTTGAACAAAATTATCTGTCTAGTTTGTGAACTTGCTCCCTCACTCATCTGCACCATTATAGTAATGACTTCATGGGGAAAAATCAAACAAACAAACAAACAAAACACTATGCTTTAGTATTTTAAGGGGTTCAGCCAGAGCCTGTTAATGTACCATTTAGCAGTCCTTCTAGAGAGAAGCAATGTTCTATACATGTGTAAATATAAATGTGTGTGTGTGGGGGGGTGGGTCATGGATAGACAAATAAGGAATCAAATTATTCATAGTTTTAATTTCAATTTGTTTTCTTTCCAATTAATATATCTCTCTTAACACTACCACAGAACTACTACTTCATTTTTGGCAGTCAATTAAGTTGCCATTCCACAAGTAATTTTCCCATTCATTGTTTTTAACAAATAAAATCCTTATCCTATTTTTATATGTAGATTCTGAGCAACATCAGACATAAGATTTTAGATTATTTACAACAGTACAAATTTATTATCTGTATATTAGAACAAATCATTCTCAACTGGAACAAGGAAGATTTTATAGAGCAATCTGAAGAGTCTATAAGAAGTTCAGGGAAAAATGTATATTATGAAAAAGCTATGCATGAATTTCAGTGTTTTTCTACCAAAATAAACCTGTGCTATACTTCCATTTTCACAAACTTTTTGTGAAAACTTTTTGAAATTCCCTAGTATTTGCAGATATCTACATACTTTTGAAATATGTAATAATTTAGAATCACTCACCCACCCTCTCCAATAATCCAAACATTCATCTAAAAGCCAGCTCTTTTGACTCCACACAATCGTGATAGCCCCTTAATTCAGGAGTCAGTGAGAGGTTGATTTGACAATGTCTGGTTAGTAAGGATATGAGACTAAGAAGAACAATAACTACCTAAAATTAAATATGTTTCTGTGTGTTTAAAATTATTTCATTGAGGCCTATTATACATATATGTAGTTTAGTATAAGATTACATAGCATAGTGGACAGGTAAAAGGCATTGAATTCAGGTCACTCTAGGTTTGAATTTTTATTATACCCACCTACTAACTATAATTAAGGTAGTTCATGTAATGTTCAGTTACTTCATTTATACAATACTAATAGCAACATTAGTTGCATTAAGAATCTAATGAGTACCTGTCACTAGAAGACACACAATCAAATGGTAGCTACTTTTAGCTATTATTACAAAGATTCTCTTTAGTCACTGAGCATCACACTGACTTACAGCCATTGCAGATCTACCAGCTCTGGAAACTAGATAGAAAAAATTGACATACTCTACCAGTACTAGTGACAATACCTGAGAAATAGAAGGCCTCTGGTATATATCAAACATTGCTGGCACACCTTTGCATAGAAGGCCTCTGCTATATATCAAACATTGCTGGCACACCTTTGCATATACTATCTCATTTATTTCTCCCAGTTGTCCTCTGAACTACTATCATCATTTTGGGGAAAAAAAAATAGAAGCACAGGTAATTAGATAATTTAGGTGAGAATTACATATGCAGAAAGTTTCTATGTAGCAGAATCTGAATGAAGAATATGATTTGAGGGACCAGCAGTTAGCGTAATGGCTATGTTGCTGGACTCCCATGTAGTTGAGCACGTTCAAGTCCTGGACTCGGTGGCTTAAAACACACTGGGCACGTGTGCGTGCGTGCCCAAGATCCCGAGAGGAGAATGGAGGAGAAGGGATTGTGGTGTGGCCATCCCCCCTAGGGAGTGATTTCTCGCTTTCTGTCTCTCTGCCTCTCTCTTTCTGGCCCGCGCATGCGCCCTATAGCAAAAACAAACAAACAAATAAAAAAAACAAAGAACCTCTCCAAAAGAATATGATTTGAGTCTATTGACTTAACCATACTGTACTTATACTGCATCATCCTGTGTCAGAGCTGTGGGTTCAGGACCTGATGCTATGTGTGTGTGTGAGTGTGTGTGTATTTCAAAAGTTTATGAAAAAATAAAATTATAGTATGAATTTATTATGGTACTAAAAGTTTGAAATTCATGTGTATTTTTTCATAGCCATTAAATTTTGAAGATGACTCATATAGTAGGTTGAATGTTTTTTGTCCCCTTAAAATCATATGTTGAAAGCCTAACCTCTATTGTGATGGTATGGGAGGTGGGGCCTTTATGTCAGGAGCATGAAGCCCTCATGAATGAGATTAGTACCTTTCTAAAACAGGCCCCAGAGTGTTTCCTTGTCCCTTTCATCAAGTGAAGACACAGGAAAAAGAACGCTGTCTATGAATAAGGGGCTTTGCTCTCACCAGACATCAAAACTGCCAGTACCTTGATGCAGACGTTTTAGTTTTCAGAACCGTAAGGAATACATTTCTGTTGTTTATCAGCCACCCAGTCTATGGCATTATGTATGCAAAGTTTTTGCAGTTTTAATATTAAATTAATTAAACTAATTATATTAATTAGTATTACTTTTAAGAGCAAAGAAACATTACATAATGGGGAAAAGGAACCCCTAAGCCTGACAGATGGTGATGTCTGTGATATTTATACAAAATAAATATTCCAAGGTGAACCTAGCGTAAGTGAATAACAAACATGAAGACAACTAAATTGTTCACAGAACCATCTTGATTATATAAATACTAAAAGAAATCTAAATGTTTCAAGAAAAGAAAAAATAACTCTCCCTCACCCTGGAAGTTTATTTTTCCCGAATTATAAAGATAACCACTTAAACTTGTTTGGTATGTGTTCCAAGTTTTGGTGTTGGTTAGATTTAGTGTTATCTTTACAGCAAAATGTGTTTTGTCTGCATGGAAAGGACAGAAGGGAACTTTGAGACAATTGTAAATATAAAAGAAGCTAAAATCCCAATTTTGATTAGGATTAGGAGTTTTGAGAAAAGTATGATGATAATATAAACTCCTCTTTTCACTTTGTCCTAATAAAATGAAGTTCTCTAAATATGTAAGACATACTGCTATTACTGGTGGAAGAGTTTTTGCTTTCCTAAAATGAAGAGATCTAAAATACATAGCACATTTTCCAAGCTTCAGTCATTGATAGAAACTTTGATTCCTTTACCATTTCTGTTCCTTCTAATGATAGAAAATTCTTGGTAACCATTTCCAAGATCTGTCAGATGTTTTTAGGAGGAGCCAGTGAGTTCTTGTGCTGGAACTCACCTTTATTTGCAAAAGAAGAACAAAATGTACTTTTATTACTGACCAAACCATGACAGTGCTGAAGGAGATGAGGTTGTGGCTTAAGTATGTCAACGATATCAAAATATTACACCAAATAAAGAGAAGCTTATCCATTTAGAAAAGTAAAAACAAAATGCCTATCTGTATTTGTTCATTTTACTTAGGTAAAACAGGATCTCTGTTTCATATTCCTGTCCCTTCTTCTTTCTTCCTTTCATCTTTTAGTCTTTCTTTCCCTTTTTCCTTTCTTTTGCTTTTCTTGTTATTTTTACAACTCTTTAAAAACATTCTTAGCTTAATGGTCATAGAAAAAGAGGTGGAGAGCTGACTTTAACCTATAGAAAATAGTTTGCCAACCCTTTGATTTCGAGTCTAAATAGAGAAATAATTGTAATAATTAATTTTCTTAATCTCTGATACATTTTTGTCTGAATTATTTATTTATTTATTTATTTATTTATAGGTTTTGTTTTGTTTTGTTTTGTTTTGTTTTTGTAGGGTGCATGGGCTCTCCAGAGAGACAGAAAAGGACAGCAACAGAAAGTGAGAAATCACCCCCAGGGTGGATGGTCACACTGCAGTCCCTTCTCCTCCATTCTCCTTTTGGGATCTTGAGCACACATGCATACATGCCCGGCGTGAGTTTGAGATGCTGGGTCCAGGACACAAACCGCAGTTGACTATGTGGGTGTTCAGGAACATAACCATTATGCTATCTGCTAATCCTATGAACAATTCATTTTTAATCACATCAAGTCTCCCCATATAGGACTCCCAAAGTATTTCTAACTTAAAGTGAAATTCAGAGGAGAACAGCAACTTACCAGCATTCTTTCTAGTGCCAGTTCTTTCTTGAGCTGATCAACTTCCATCTTCAATTTGTCCTTTTCCGTCAGATCTTCAATATTGATCACTGGCATGTTTTGCCTCCTAAACAGATAAAAAGGTTAGTGCTCATACCTGAATTACTGGACTCTCTTTAAGTCAATCTTAGTCAATCCTTCCCTCAACTCATAACTTACTGAATAAACAATTCTTTGTCTTATTTAAAATTCCTACAACAACCGACTTCTCATGAACACTTTCTGAATAATGCTAGCATTGCACACTAGCCTTGGGAATTAAAGCTTCTTCATAATCTTCACTAATATGATTAAACCAAGCATTTGGCCTTAAACACCTTCCTGTAGGTTCTTAGGGAGGTGTCAGTTTAGTCAGTACATAATCTAAAATACTTAAAACTCCTTTTCCCAGATCTTTTGCACAGTATAAAATTTTGGGTTTCTGACTCTCATCTCCAATTCCAAGGTTTTTCACCATATGATTTATATATTTAATTTAGTTCAAGGTTATTTTGAAGACAATTAATGCCCTATTTGCTAGAGTATTTACTCTGGTATTAAAAAGAGACCATATAAAAAGTGTCATTATAAATTTCTTATAAATAATACCAAGAATTTTCTATCATCAGAAGGAAAGAAATGGTAAAGGGATAAAAGTTTCTATCAAACAATGACTATGTGCTATGTATTTTAAGTGTGAACCAAATACAATAGAAATTCAGTAAACACTCTTCTTAAACTGATATATTACTTAGAAATGTTTCTCCAAACAATACCTGGAATTCACATGTTACTGTCACAATGGGTAACAGTGATAAACAAATGAAGCAAGTCAAAGGTGACATAGTGAATCAGGACTGCCAAGTACATCACAAAAGGCACCTAGACTCTTCTGCCTTCTCAGCAGGCTCCCATCTGTCTCATTTAGACCCATGTGTAATGGGGATGATGGCTCACAGCTGGTAGCACTCTATGTAATTGCCTGGAGGAAAATATTTTATTGTAGCCAAGTGGCTTCCTGCCTACAGCCTCTCCTTATGTGACTCTTTTTCTTTCTTGTCTCTCTAGCCCAATTATTTTTTTAAGTTTTTTTGTTTTTTGTTTTTTGCTTAGGATGCATGTGCTCTCCCAGGAGGAGAGAAAAAGAGAGAGAGAGAGAGAAGAAAGAGAGAGTGAGAGAGCTAGAGGGAAAGTGAAAAATCATGGGGGGGGGAGGTCATGCCACCACCCCCCAGGGGGAATAGACACTTCTCCATTCTCCTCCAGGGATCTTGGGCATGCACATACACACACCCATTGTGAGTTTCAAGCAACTGGCTCCAGGACTCAAACTGCAGTCAGCCATGTGGGAGTCCAGTGACATAATCATTATGCCATCTGCTGGCTTCTCTCTAGTCCAATTTTTAGAAAGAAATATTTTTATGAAAGAAGACACATTCAGAACACATGTTATTTCAGAAACTGACATGATATCATACATCTATATGAAAATTCTCTGCTAATGATTTATCAACAATGCATTTATTTCCTTGTATTTGCATGGTATTTTCATCCCCCAAACCTTTGAGGATATCATTTTTCTTTCTGTAGCCTCATAATATGCTATTCTTTTTTTGGGAAAAGAGGTAGTTTGGTATATTTTTAGGGATAAATGCCTGTGTAGGCCAACACAGTTAAAAAATAACTCACTATAAAAAGAACCCTCAGCCCAATATTTCCTGTATGTTTACTGGTGCTCTTCTAGTCATTATTTTAAGATCCAATTATTTGATAATAAAAGGGTCATTTCTCTGGGTAATAATCGTTTGGTATTCAAGAGCTCATTCTCAAGTTTTAGTCTTACTTTTCTTTCCACCCTTTTCAGACTCTGTATAAAACCTCACAAATATTTCTGTTGATCATGTTTACCTACTGACATTGTCATATGCAAAATTTTCCTCATTTTTGGAAGACTTCTCATTTTGCTAGGCAGTGACTCTGACACTTCTGGGTGTATAACAATCACTTTAGGAAACTGGTTAAAATATGACCTCAGCCTAAGTGATTTTGATGTAATAGATCTGGGTTAGGGCTTAAAATTTTGTTTTCTTTATTTTAAGAAGCTCTGTCATGTTACTGCCAACAGAAGAATAACTGGCCTTTGCTAGTTAGTGATCTAGACCAAGGTACTTCAGTGGGCTGTGCCTCAGGTTACTAGAAAATATGAGCAATAATGTTTTCTACGTTGTAGATATATTGAGAGGGGTAAATGGAAGTAATGTATGTAAAGACTGGATAACAAGCGTATAACACACAACAAACACTTAGTATGAGAGCTGGTGTTACTCACACTATACCTCAAATGTTCAGACCATACTTTCCTATACGGCACTTGAGGGTAGGTAACTTTAAAGGATATCATGTGTACATGGTTTGGTTCCTTTAATACTATGCATAGCAGACGCCCTAACCTAACCTTTTCCAGGACACAGTACCCATAACCCAGCAGCTGTATTGACTTTCAAGGACAAAGCTTCTGCAGGGGTTGGTCCTTGGATGCTGGGAACTACTTTGCCTGGTTATCTGGGAGCTTATGCCCCCTTCTGGTTCTTGTGGCATCATACCTAGAGTGGGTGACCTGTAGCAAATGGCTGGTTGCTAAGGGTCCTTACAAACTAATCCTCTGCATCTGGCCTGCAGTTGAGAACCTTCCAGAATTTTCCATGGGTTCAGGCTTATGCTAGACTTCTGAAATCACACTGTTGACTTACTGTTCCTCTTGCTCCATCTTGTTTTTCTCACCCTTCTAGAAGTTTGTCTTGAGAGCTCACCCTCAATATATCACTCGAACAAAAATATTTCTTAAGTCCTGCTTCTAGGAAACTCAACCTAAGACACAATGAATGACTAGGGCCTTTATAGGAGAGGCCATAACTTTCATAACTATATGTCCTCATTACTGCTTATTGTTTTGTATATTGTTTGGGATGTAGAAGAAGATCAGAAAGTGTGGATAAAGACAATTAACTTCTATTACAAATCTTTACCTAGACATAGAAGAATATGCAAATTATCTAAACTTATTTTAATAACAAATAGTGTCTTGACTCTAGAAAGCTGTGATTCATGTGAATAATAATATTTAACATTAAAAACGCTGCATTTAGCAGAAGTATATTCTTAGAAGATTCAAGAATACTTGCCGAATTGGATGCCACAGGTATTTTATGAAAAAAAAAAAAAAATCAGAGTGGGGATCAAAATTCTCACCTCCCTCAAGGACACCCAGACACACAAAGAAGAAGAGCATATACCATCTTCATGGAGATTTCAAGTGTTCAGGGTTATACTGAAGCAAAGGATTTGGAGAATTCAAATAAAATGTCAACTACTTTATCCCATTTTGTAGATGAGGAAAATGCAGTTCAGGAAGTTCAAATGCCAGAAAGTATATACAAGATGACAGGCAATGCAACTGAGATTATAATACAGATGTATTTTCTGGTCTGGGGTACTTTCCACTCCAGCACCTTTCTTTCAGCACAGGAATGAATTCGTTTTGTCAAGCTAGTGAACAGGAATGAATTCGTTTTGTCAAACTCCAGAAGTGCATAGAACAAAAGCCCAGAGTTGACAATAAATGACACTAAATCTTTTCCCTGCTCCTCATATTCTATCATTTTAGATTGGACCACCTCATCATGGAATGTCCTATGTGGGGCTAGATCAGATAACTTGCCCTAATATCAACCAACGCCACCCACCTTTCGTCGACTAGCCCAACAAGCTAAGGTAGCTATTACAACTAACTCAGGACAAAAACATACCTTAGTTAAGTTGATATTTGCCCATTTACCTCTCTTCCTCCATCCTGCAATACTGTAGACGGTCTAAGGTCCAAACAAGCAAAGAGGAGAGGAGGAAGTATCTCAGAATTTTACCCCATCTATAGAGCTGTGGTTCTCAGTGGGAGCAATACTGCCCCCTAGGGGGACTTTTGAATATATACATCAGATTGTTTACTGTGGTCTCCAGTAGTTTTTGTGAGTATGGATAAAGGGTGTCCAATATCTTGCATTTCCTAGGACCCTGCTGCATAAGATGAACTATCTGACATCCAGGACATATATGATGTCAGACATTTACATAGACAAGAAACAGAATAGAGTTATTTTAACCTTGAACCTAACTTCATTTCCCACATAAACTGAATACCGATAAACACCGATTTTTATGATAATGAAAATGTTTCATAAACAAAAAGAAAATCATTCACCAAGAATTTTAACTCTTTCAGAATACCATATTACTTACTGAAGCTGTGTGCATGGTTTATATGTCAGTCTGTATTCTCAGCTGCTATGTCCAGAGTGATTCTACCTATACAAAACACTTGACCAATGAATCATGCATAAACATGGTGAATATTTTCATATTTTAAAATATTTTCATTCTTTATAACTTGTTGCTTATTTTTGCTTTCTATTAATAGGATATAGACACCATTTTGATAGTTTGAAAATGGTCATCAAAAACATTTCTTATACAAAGGAGACACTAGGTTCAGTGGAAGTCATGATCTTAGAGCCAGAAAAGAGGGGACAAATGCACACTGTCTTGGTTATTTTGGCCTTACACACCAAGATGAGTTTTACTAGCCAAATATGGTCCACAGTGAAATCTGTAAAAAAGATTGTTAAAAGGGCAGCTACTCATTGGTAATGGAAGTTAAACATAGCATAATTACTGAGGCAATTGACTTTCTTTAATTCTAATGTCTCAAAACATTTAGAAATCTAAAAAGAAAGACACTAACGAAACTCAGAAAATAAAGACAGGGGGCCAGCAGATGGCATAGTGGTAACATTGTTGTACTCCCACACAGTCAACCGCAGTTCAAGCCCTGGACCTGGTAGTTTCAAACTTAGGTCAGGTATGTGCATGTGTGCCCAAGATTCCAGGAGGAGAATGAAGGATAAGGCATTGTGATGTGGCTATCCCCCCGGGGGGTGATTTCTCACTTTCTGTCTCTCTGTCTCTCTCTGGTAAGTGTACACATCCTATAAAGTAAAAGAAATTAAAGAAAAGAAGAAAAGAAAAGAAGAGGAAAGAGAATAAAATAAAAGATAAAAACATAGAAGAAAAGAAAAGGAGAGGAAAAGAAAAGAAAGAAAGAGAAGAGATAAGAAAAGAAAGAAAAGAAAAAAGAAAAGAAAAGAGAAAGACAAATGTGCTGAGTAATGCCAACAAGTCCTGGGATGGAGTGGCAAAGAACTTCCTTCACTACCCGATGTGGTGGTGTTTTCTTAAAGCACTTTGGAAAGACAGAAGTCTGCTAAGTAGCTTAAGCATCTCATAATGTCTTTTGGAGTTTCCGTGAATATTTTTGTGAATTTATTTTAGAATCAAAATGAGCTAGAGTAAAGTTCAAAGGCTGACTGCTTTCTGTTTGTTTTTACACCGTACACATAAGTCTGTGTTGAAGTAAGAATATCCAATTTAAAAGAAAATATGTACCTATGAAGAGCTAGATCAGGGAGAAATTACTCCAATTATTTTTCAAAAGTTCTTTGTTTCATCAGAGAAGTATTAATCACAGATTCTTTGAAATAGAAGTGTTGCCAGCATACTTTAAATCTTACTTGATTTATAAACATCTAGTTTGACCTCGTTTTTCATAGATAAATCCACCCTAGTATACATATTAATCTTGTAATTGTATGAAGGTACTTATTCTATACTCTTCTTTTCAATCCTGAAATTCTACTTGGAATTATAAAAGGATAACAAGTAATATTTTATTCATTCATCCAACATATATTTACTGAATACCTATTAGATGCCAGATATGATTCCAAAGGCATAAGGATAGATTACAGGGAAATAAATCTGCCCTCCAAGAACTTCCATTCTAGTGATGGACACATATAATGTCCGGGACGCGAACTGTGGTCGATCACGTGGGAGTCCAGCGACATAGCCATTACTTTAACTGCTGGTCCCAAACATATCATATTTTGATTGGGATATGTACTAAGAAGAAAAAGAATAAGAATAGGAAGTGTCATAAATGTTTCCCTTATAGAGGGGTTGGCCAGAGAAGCCATCTCTGGGTCAGTGCTACTCAAGTAATGATACCTGAGGGAAATGACGGAGGAGGCTAAAAAAGGTATCTAAAAGAGAATTCCAGAAAGCATGGAGCACAGGGGAGCAGTAGGCCCATATAAATATGCAGAGCCCAGCAACTACAGGAGAAGAGTTATATGCTAAATCAGTGGCCATATGTCTTCCAGGTGTTATGAAGACTTGGACTTTATTCTGTTGTTTTGTTTTGTTTCTAATTTTTTACCAGTGGATGCATGTTCTCACCAGAGCAAAACAGAGAGACAGGAAAAGATGGATAGGGAAAAAGCATCCTCCCCACCCACAGGGTGTGAGCACACCACAATTCCTTCTCCTTCATGTTTTCCTCTTTTCAGGATTTTAGGCATGCACTCACATGTGACCAGAGGTTTGAAAGTCACCAGGTGCAAGACTCAAACTGCCTGGTCGGTGACGTGGGATCCAGCTCCTTTAACAACCAGGCCATGGGCTGTCCTATTCTTGCTTTATTCTGAATGACTCAGAGTGCTTTTGGAGGGTTTTGAACAACACATAGAGTGACATTATCCATCATGTATTTTGGTAAAACTGTTCTGGCAGCTCTTTGGAGGTTAGAACATAGGGGGTTAGATGGGAACAGAGAAGAGGCAATTTCACTAATCAAGATGAGATATGGTGACTTAAACCAGGATAGAGGAGTGCAAGTGGGACAGATAGGGAGATTCATAATATATTTTGAAACCAGAGACAGTAAGATGTGCTGACACACCAGATATGAAATGAAAAAGGAGGGTAAGTTGAGATGACTTCAGTGTTTTACATCTGAAAAACTGGAAGATGGGATTTGCTGCTTCCTACAATCAGGAAGATGAGAGAAGGAAACACAAAGCTTGCACTGCATGTTACCTGGTCTGACTTTGTGGTCTGGAGTTTAGAGGAGAGCCAGGAGAACAGGTTGAAAACACCCAGGATAAACAGAAAAGAGCAGAGAACAAAGGACTAAACCATGGAGCATCTAAAGTGGCGGAGGTGAGATGAAATTAACAAAAGAGAGTGACTTTGTTGTCCTAAATAAGACAATATTAGTTAGCGATTTTTAGATTTACCATGTACTAGCCACTCTGTGAGTATTACTTATATGTACCTATGCCTTTTCATTCTACTTTGGCCTATGAGGTGACAGTAGCTAACATAGTATGTATTTATTCAGCAAGTATTTATTGTGTGATTACCAATGGTCAGGCACTCTTGATTATCTGGGATTGAAACTAAAAAGTGTTATTTACAGACAGGAGAAAAATTGGAGATATCTGGACAAGATTTCAATTTCGGACATATACTATTTGAGATGTCTCTAAGACATTCGATTGGAGATGTTAAATCAAAGTTGGGAATTCAGAGGAGAGATCAATACTACACAGAGGCATACGTACAGTCATTCATTGCTTAATGACAAGATTCCTCCTGAGAAACTGCATCCTTAGGCAATCACACTGTGTGAACATCATAGAGTACACATACACAAGCCTAGATCGTGTAGCCTACTGCACATGCAGGCTGATTGGTATGGCCTATTGTAATTTTAGGGGACCACTGATAGAGTCACTAACCTATCATTATGTGGCACATGAATGCACATATACATGTGGATGGATGTGAACAGTTCATGAAAACTGTGTATTATGAAAAACATTGCATGAACCTCAAAAGTTTTTTTTTTTTTTTTTTGGAGAGGTTTTTGCTATAGGGCACGTGCGCTCACCAGAAAGACATTGCTTAATGACAAGATTCCTCCTGAGAAACTGCATCCTTAGGCAATCACACTGTGTGAACATCATAGAGTACACATACACAAGCCTAGATCGTGTAGCCTACTGCACATGCAGGCTGATTGGTATGGCCTATTGTAATTTTAGGGGACCACTGATAGAGTCACTAACCTATCATTATGTGGCACATGAATGCACATATACATGTGGATGGATGTGAACAGTTCATGAAAACTGTGTATTATGAAAAACATTGCATGAACCTCAAAAGTTTTTTTTTTTTTTTTTTGGGGGGGGGAGAGGCTTTTGCTATAGGGCGCGTGTGCTCGCCAGAAAGACAGAGAGAAATAGGAAGCGAGAAATCACCCCCCAGAGGTGATGGCCACGCTGCAATCCCTTCTCCTCTGTTCTCCTCTTGGGATCTTGGGCATGCACGCACATGCACCCAGTGTGAGTTTAAGCCACTGGGTCCGGGACTCGAACTGCAGTGGACTATGTGGGAATCCAGAGACATAGCCATTACGTTAACTGCTGGTCCCGGCCACTCCAGTCTTTAATGGTTACCCAGAGGAGGAGGAGGGAGCAGACAACTGAGTAAAGGAAAGCAGAAGAATGTGCTATCACAAAGAATAACAGAAAAACATTCAACAGTGAGGAAGTATTTAACATTTTAAAATACTAGGAAGAAGTGAGACAAAATCTAGATGGAAATTGTGGTCTCTGATGATCTCGGTGATCGTCGGTTGGTGTCACGTACACTGAGAGGTCTAGTGAGATGTGGTGGCATGATGGCTGTCTTTTACAAGAGCAGTTCCTGTTCTTTCTCATCCCCATGAGGCAGTTCAATTGCAGTAGAATGTGGGAAAAACAGAAAATGAGGAAATGGGGTGGGAATAGTGGAGGTAATATTCTGAGAAGTTTGGCTGGACAAGGAAGCAGTGAAATGGGGAGCTGGTAGGCGAGGGATATGAAGGCATGTGTGAACATTAAGCTTAAGTTGGAAAAAAGTCAGATGTGGCATTCCAGATGGAAACTATTAAAACTTGGGTGTATG